TGTGTGTTGTTTGAAGGAGATTGTAATTTTTATTGTGTAAAAGTCTTATAAAAAGACCAATCTTTCTAAACTTTATGTAACGATCAAAGTTTTGTAACGAGTTATACAATGAAAAAAATAATTTCTGATCCAAACACGCTGGCTGTGGGAGCCAACAGTCTCGTCACCGAGGCTGTCGTGTCGTAACCAAAGATCAAGATCCCTGTTGATTCAGAGGTCGAGTACGAGTTCGACAAAGCTAAATTTGAGGAATATTTCTCCTTGTCTTTATCAAAATCCTTCTCTCCCTGCAAGTGCAGAAAGATCCCGTCTTTGAAGGAGGTGTATTCGTCGATGAAGGCTACAAATGACTATGCTCACCACAACTCCTCTCCAATCAAGGAGTTATCCAATCAAGGTATGCTAACTCTGACGAAGAGGACTCGTTAGAGGCGACGCCAATGCTAAGCTCATCGGCACTTGGAGTCTAGGAAGCGTCATTCAATCCAGCCGGCTCAACGGCAAGTTGCTGACATATTATGCAAGCCGTCAACGGAAGAATAGATCCTTGTCAAAAGGAATCATTCAACCTTGAAGGAGCGCATCCAAAAGCAATGCGCACGTGCCACACACGGGCATGCCTTTTTGCGAAAGACACAATGCATGAAGAGGAAAAAGGTGGTCAAAGAATCACTGAAATCCAAATGAGTCTGGGTACCGAAGTTGAAAACATCATCGAAAATAGCTAAAATGCTTCCGCTTAGGGCGAGACACGACTCGTGTCTCGCGCCTGATTCCATCTCTACGGGCATTTCCAAGCCTCCATCAGCCTCCAAGCCCACTCGTCTTCCTCCCGTACCTCCGGCGAAACCCTACAGCAGCGTGGATCTGTCCAAATTTAAGATTCTGATAAAAGATCATCTGGGTCCTCTACACGAAGATCGAGGCAAAGCTCCGTGTTTCCGCTAAAAGTTGCTTTCATTGTTGATTTCATTAACTTAGCTATTTACAAAGAATTCAAACAACAAAATAAATAAAAAGAAAAGAATTACAACTCTCTCGAAAATAATACAAGATCCGTTTATCGTCTCTTGCTCGCGTGGGTTTTTAGCCTGTGACGGGGACGTCAATATCCGTGGACCACCTGACGATCAGATCAGATCCGAAACTTCGTCAATTCGCGAAGGAATAAAGAAGCAGAAGTGCTTATCTCGGCAACAACGAGATAATTGCTCTTTTTAAGATTACCACAACGGGGTAATCTTAAGGAACGGACACGAGGAACTGCAGATCTGTCGAACTCCTCCTTCCTGAGCTGAAGAATTCGATCAATCTCCTCCTCTCTTCTGAAATTCGCGCACCTTTAGTCTTCAGTCTGGCAGAGCTTCGCCAACGCTTGAGAATTTCAGATCTAAAAAAATAAAGGCTCTGGGACTGTATTTATAGGCTCTAGTGAATCCAGTCGGTTAACATCAAAAAACTGCACAAAACAGCCAAAATCCGCGTTCTAGGCATTGCAGACACTTCTGAGTGTCTTACAGACACTTCTGAGTGTCTTACAGACACTTCTGATGTATTGCAGCACTTTAATGTATTGCAGACACTTCTGATGTATTGCAGAACCTTCTGAGGCGTCTTGGCAGACACTTCTGAGAGTCTTGCAGCACTTCTGATGTATTACAGACACTTCCGATGGATTGCAGACACTTCTAGGTATTGCAGACACTTCATAGTGTCTTTGCAGACACTTCTGGGTGTCTCGCTTGGCGCGAGACACTCTTGAGTGTCTCGGCCAACGCCGAGGATATCTTGGCGTGTTCTTGGTTTGGTCCGGGGTTTGGTTTGACATGTCTTGTTCGTTTCCGCCGTATTTTCTTCATCCGAACTCGGAATCACGCAATTAAAGATGCGTTGGAACGCTGATGAGGAGATCTACAGGCTCCCATGATTGAATCATATGTGGAATAAATAGGACACGAGGGGTACTCCGCCTTTCATAAGCGACACGCCCCCTCCCCCCCGATCAGCTCGTATCCTCGTTATTCTGAAACTCGATTGCTTCACATAGTTCGTTGACTCACTTCATGCGTTTGTCGATGTTGATCAAACTTCTGTGACTTGGATAGTGACGTTCATCATCTCCTTCTAGCTTCGAGCTTTTCGTGGAGACCTATAGGCGATTTTCGACGCCTACACTCCGGTGAATAAAACCCGAGTAGTTCCTCAGGTTGGGGGTCGTACAAACACTCTCTTCAAGTCAAGGCCCTCTCAAAGGTGTCCTACCACCTCCAAACAAACCGGTGCACTTTATTGTACGTGTTCGTACGCCGTGCACAAGAGGACTCCTGACATTCATCGCCTGGGGGCTCATATTGGAACTCAAGAGCCCGTTAAGACCTCACGCTCGCAAGGGGGTGGTTATAAATGTTCGACTCCTGATGTGACCTTGGATCATTCAAAGGGGACAACGAATCGTCCTAAGAATGTGAACAAAGTTCTTCTTCCCCAAAAGAAGACATGTCCGTCAAAAGACAACGTTGTACTTGGGGTATCACACAAACAAGCAATGGATTGCTCCAATGAGATGCACCAGCGGTCGACCCAACATGCTGACAACTTATGAAGCCGAAAGAAAAGGCAGTATTTGTCAACCTATCCACAAGATTGAGATAAAAAGCATCCTCACATGGCCTATCGCTCTGATCGACTCCACTCTTTATTGCCATTCGACCCTTCCAGGCCGATAACTTGTGAGGCCGACTAAAAAGGTGGTGATTGTCGGTCTCTAACGAGACGAGTGGGGCGGCGGTATGCTAATAGTCGATTGTCATCACCTTAAATGCGTAGTCAGAATCATCATTGCTCTAACCCCAATAGTGTTTATGACTCATCGGACCTCGTCAGCACTATGCACCTCCTATCCCCCTCACATTAAATGCCTAGATGACTCACCCCTTCACCGGCTGGCACCTGTAAAGTAGATGATGACTAAGCCACCAGCTCGACTCGGCCAAAGTTACTAATCTGCCTTTCTGACCTACTGTAAAAGGTAAGTGTCTAGGGTAAAGTCAGAGTCTTCTAAGCAATTCTGAATAACTTTCTTTACTTATCTCTTATTTCTCCACTCAAGCTCAAGTACTGACTTAATCCTCAGAGGAACCAGCAGAGATCCCAACTTCGGCCACTCACTAGTTCTTCATGTGCAGGATAAAACATATGGCATAGGAACCAGCCATCTGAGGAAGCTTGATGATCCTAACACCTCCATAATCTACAGGTAAACCTCATGTTTGATAACTAACATTGACAACACTCCATGAACTATTTCTCCTTGAACCATTAATTTCGTCCATGTTTATTCTCGACATTATTTTTTGTCCCACCTTACCTTCTAAACTATTACTACTTTCAACACCTATTTACCCCTTCTAGTTTATCATCTTACAAGTATTTTGAAAGGATTTATATCACGAAAGCAATAGTTCAAGGGTTAAAAAATAAGAGGAAATTAACTGTTTTTTTAATGCAAAAAAGAAATCATAGCTCACAGGATTGAGATCGAAAAAAGTTTGCGGGGTACATAGGACAAGTGTAATAATCAGGGGATAAAAAAGAACTGGAGCTCTAAGTAATTACTAACATAACCTATTCATTCTTTTAGTCCTAATTTAATTATTTTAATGGGTTAATGTTTGGATATTTAGTTCTCTCTCTCACAAATGCTACTTGCCGTAAAAGTAAATTAGATTTTTGTTCAACGATGAAGATATGTTTTCCCCCAATGATATGGTTTTCTTCTGTATTTTCCCCCAATGATATGGTTTTCTTCTGTAAAGCTGAAGAAAATGATTTACATCGGTTAAATACAACTTAACGTTATTTTCAAGATTATTGAAAGCTAACACACGCACATATATATAATAGTTTATAAATATATTTTCTTATGTTTATTTGCTTATGAGCTCCGCACAAAACATTAGTGAGCCCATCAAGGATATTTTACCAATCAAAAACTCCCTTCTTGATATTCTTCCAAGATCGACAAAGAGGCGACAAAGAGAGAAAAAGAGAATTAGAGAAGATTTGCACGATCTATTCTCTACTAGGCATGCACATTTCATGATCTTGTCTGCGCTAAGTTCTCTATCTATAAATAAATATATCTCCATATTATATTATTATTACATAATTCTCAACATACAATTAGCATTCCACAGGAACCTCTGTCATCCATCCTTTCCCCTTTCCAAAGAATAAGAACATATAAAAAGTGTGAAGGGGTTAATTAGCATCACTTTAAGTACATAAAGTTGGATTAGCCTTTATCTTATCCTTTTAGTCCTTATCTCTCTGTCTGCTGCCGATTAAGGACACTTTAAAGTCAGGTAAAAGGACTAAATTGCCCTCATTTAATGGGCAATTAAGATTACACAAATCAATTCCTATATTAGTGGTTAGTGCTTACAAGAGCAAGATCTTTTTGAGCTAGACGCGTGTCGTCACATGAAAATCCTAGAATAAAAGATGTGTCCCATGTTTGCAAAGAAGAGCTTATTTAAGAATTCCTCTATAGATTTTGGCACATTTAGCTTATATATGTAGCATTTTTATTTTTTTAAAAATTGGATTGTGGTAGGGTTTTGTCTGTTAAGTGTTTCCTTATATATGTAGCAATTTTATTTTTTAAAATTGGATTGTGGTACAGTTTTGTCTGCTAATTATAAGTCCCTCTAAGGTTTCTAGATATCTATCAAAAATCCAATTTTCTTTACGTTAAAAAATCATCAATTTTACAGTCCTTAGATTTACAAGTCTAAGTCATATTATTTTTTCTTTCTATCTGTGCAGTTAAGAGCACATATAACAAACCTAAATTGTCAAACTTATTAATTAAGTTTAGAGTACTTTACAATGCAAAACACAACAGCACAAAAAGATAAAAACACATAAAAGGGTATACACGTAAACAAACCTTTCCTTCTCAAATTTCTTTTTCTTTTTCTCGTCCTCCGTATAAAAACAGAGCAACAGATGCAGAGAGAGAGAGAGAGAGAGAGCAGAGCACTGAACCCAAAACAAATCTCTCTCATTTGCTTTGAAAACAGTGCAAGCCTGAACCTGTCCACTACAGTAATATTTTGCGTGAGTGGATGCTCTGTTTTCCCTTTTCCAACCGCTGGAATCTCCTCTTCCTCCCCTGTTCCCAGTTCCATTTTTTATCATAAATCTCTGCAGCAAAAATAAGTTAAAATGGCAATCAAAACAATTTGAAGCAAACCCATTTCAAATTAGCCCTTTTCCTCACTTGGGTCTGATTCTTTTGCTGAGGTTGAGCGCTGAAACCCATTGTAAAAGGCCTTCCCCTTTGCCCTGTTTCTTGTGACCGCCATTGATTCAAGCAAAAGAGAAAATGGATGAGAAGAAGCTTGAGCTTAGGCTGGGCCCACCTGGAGATGATGAATACCCAGCAAAAACCTGTGTTGGTGCAAAGAGAGGTTTTTTTGCTACAGTTGAGCCCAATACTGGAAGTAGTACGTTTTATTTCTTACATAAATTCATTTAAGATTTATTTATTTATTATTATTATTATTATTTGCTTCTTTACTTAATTTTTGTTATTTTTTTTTCTGTAGTTCTACCACCACATGCTACTGAAAATGCCGCTGAAGGCCAGAGAAGCTCTCGGACTAGGTATTAAATCTAGATCAAACGAAAATGATATCTATTTGTGTTATTTTTTGGGAAATATTTGTTTAACATTGTCCTAGATATTAATAGTCTTTGTTATATTCTGATGATAGAGATGTAATCTTTGTGATTTTTTCTACTCTCTTAAGCTCTATTTGTAATATATTTTATGGTCGTCACTTAAGACAGCTTTACTGAGTTTAGGCTTCTTGCTTTTGTTCCTTTTGTACTTTTCAGCATATTCTTGAGTTTTTTTGTTTTTACCTTGAAGTTTCTTTTGATG